AAGCATGCCATGGATGATTTGAAAAATTTGTGCTATTTTAGATTTCTTCTTCATTAGGAATACCCAAATGGTAATAGTGTGATCGCCAATGAATGAGACAAATCATCTAGTCCACTTAGGGTTCTTACTTTTGAAGGTCCTCAAATATCATTGTGGATAATAAAAAAAAAAAAATTTGAGGGTTGATCACAAGATAAAACATTTTTAATGTGTTTTGATAAATTGACAAATTTCTCAATGATAAGTATTAGGTTTTTTATTGATAAAAAAATTATGATTCAACTTTGTAACACAATTGAAATTAGGTGACCTAGGCAACTATGTCATAACATGACTTGCTTTTTAGCAGCCTTAGAGACTTAAGGAAGAGATGGATATGGGATCACTTGTTTAGAGAAAGATTTTCCTTGAACGAGTATAAGCCTTGATTTATTTCCACACTGTGAATCATCTTCCCCAAATTTACTACCAAAAGTTTACAAAAGTTTGCAAAAAATTTAGTTTATACATTTCGTATCATGAGTAAATTTACTAGATTGAAATCAAATTGCAATTCAACTGTGAAACATATAAAATAGTGAATAGAATAATATTCTGAGATAGCTCTACTTCTTCTTTTCCAATAATTTTTTAGTGTGATCTATCTGCATGTCTGTGAAATTCCATATCCATTACGAGGGAGAAAAAAAAATGATGTGAGGAGTCGGGCAGTCGAATAGAAGAGAGTGGAAGCGAGGAGTCGGGAAAAGGAAGCGAATAGTAGGGAAGCCAAAGAGGGGAATTTGTTCTATAAATCGCGTGTGAGATGGGAGCTTTTGGGTTTGCGGTCAGAAAACATAGGAAAGAAGGAGAGGTGTTGAGAGGCCATGCACAACACTCAAAGGAAGATGAGGATCGTCGCTGCATTGAGCTACGTGTGAAGGAGAGGAGGACGGCGTAGGAAGGAGCCAAACCGTTGGTCGCGTGTGCTTGTAAACCTAAGCAGAAGAACGAGGGGGAGGTGACGACGGGAGAAGAGGAAGAGGACGCTGCATTCCGTAGGTGGAGAAAGCTTTTGCGTGGGTTACAACTCGATCGGGAATCTTAAGGGTGAGTAGTTTTAATTAAAAGTATTTAATAAAGATTTTATATGTGTGTGTGTGTGTGTGTGTGTTAGGATTACATAAGGTATAATAATTTAAATTTAATATTTAAATAATATAAAGATAATAAATTAATTAAATTTATACTCATGGTTATTGTAGGCTTAAAAAAGTGATGAAGTAATATAAATTCAAGAACAAATTAAGCTTCATCGATATGATTACCCCTACTATTAAATTACAGTATTATTTTAGTATCTCTTCTAAACTAGTTGTATGAATTGTTATTCATGCCTGATTAGTGAAATTGATTTTTCTACTATTAATTTTTATCGATCATCTCGATGTGAATGCTTATAGTCACATATTATGAAATAATTGATGTATTATAGTTTTGCATGTTGTGTGATCTGAAATTGTGAATGATATAATCTATATAGAGTGATTGTATATATATGCTTGACTATGATGGAGTCACCTCTTGTTGTTACTAGTGGGGAAACACTAAAGTACTCATGCGCGTATATTGAAAAGGATATTGATATTGATGTGTCTTAATTGACACAATTTTTAATTTTTAGACGGTAATTTTTAGACGGTGCTTCTGTGACGGTTGTACAAATATAAAATGATATTGGTATGTTATTGATATAGTAAGGTTCATTGATAACATATTAAATATTTATATTAATTTATTTAAAAGTTTAATTGGCATGTATTTTGCTTTATTTTTTGTATTTTTGTGGCTTATGAGTATGAGTATTCTTTGACTTGTTTAGCTCACAGTTATTTTAAACTAATTTTTCATGTTAATTAAGTGATTAGAAATGAGCAATACAGGAGAAAACATGTATAAACGACACGGACAACCAGTAATAAAGTAATATTAATTCTACCGCTTTAATTTAATTTGTTTGTTTACTCTTTCATTTGTTAAATTTTGGATTAATATAAAAAATTTAATTCACACCATCCGACCGTCTGCACTCACCTTGCTTAATTCTATGCTCCGGGTCGGGTCGTGACAAAATATAGCAGATCTAGATGTAGAAGCCTCTTGATAATTGACTAGAGCATTCATGATCAGAAGCTCGTGAATTTATGCTCCAATGTCTAAATTTCTTATTGTTGATGAAAGATATGTTACCTTGATGTGTCATGAGGCTGGTGTGTTATTTTGAATTACCCTCAAGGAGCTTTTTCAGTACTTCAAACAGTTTCTTGGTGATTGGGTTAGCCATTCCTTCAAATGTGATTACAACATTACTCTTGCTCTCTTGATCTTTACTTTCATATCTAGGTTTCTAATATGCAGGTTTTCAATGGAGTTTCCAACATCTATCTTTGAGGTGCCTGATTTTCTTACAGTAGCCACGCTTGGGATGATTTTTTTTTAATTTTGAGCCATGGGAAGAATTATAGGAGTACAGAGCTGAGCTTATCTCATTTCCAGCTATCATAAGCTTATTTCTACTCTCTTCTCTTCTAACTTTACCAAAAACTTAACGAGTTGACAGAGGCCTTATTCTCATAATCCACTCTCTCACTTTATCAAATTCCTTAGTCCTACTAGGAATTTCATAGTTCTCTTCTTCTCGATGATGGATTTATACATCACGATATGATGTGGACATTTTCCACACATATGTCTCAAACATATCAAATTGAAGCTAATGCTTTATCAAGGTGTTGAAATATTAAGTGACACTTAATTCGCCTTGACAAATTATGTAGTTTAGTTTTGATCTTAAACAACTCTGCAGTATTTTTGGAAAAAGTTTTTCTTATAGCCTTCCAAATTTTTTGGCTATTTTGTATAGCAAGAAATTTTCTCTTACTTCAGTGGTCATTGAGTTGACTAACCAAGACATAATCATAAAGTCTTGAATCCTCCATGTGTGATGATTAGTATCAGGGAGCTCAGGAATTGTGTCATCTCTCTTTAGATATGCTTATTTTCTTTTTTCATGAATATACATAAACATGTATTGGGACCATTGAAGAATGTTATGACTATTGAATATATGGTTTGTAATAAAAGAAGAGTTCAGGGGGTGTTTGGATAGAATTCCTTGTTTCTGATTTAGAACCATACGTTGGAGTAGAATTAATTGTTTTCATTATGTACCCGATCATAAACTCTATGCACGTTTAGGTTTGCATAAAGGAGTTTGTTGTTTTTTGTTGCGAGAATGGAGGACTACAGCTGAATGCGGAGTCCAACTGCTATTATAAGGAGCGGAGGAAGGCCTGCAGGCTGGCTATAGAGATTCTAACAGCTGCAAGGGGAATTTTGGCTACTCGGCTGCTGAAGAGGCTTCGGTGGCTGTAGAAGCGAGCAGAAGAGAGCCTATAGGGTCGGTGTTGGCAGTCAAAGAAATCTTAAGGCTTAAAGTCTTCGAACAATTGATGACAAAGGGTCAACTTCGGTCGATAGCAATTGTATGACCGACGTCAAGGATGAAGACAAAGCGGAAGTCGAACGTGTTGATCCCTTTGGTCCCACACGACGGTTTTGTCTGGAGGTTGCAGTTAATGTAGACAGTGCAAATGAGGGGTCATTCAAACAATGATGCAGACAAAGCATATGGCAGCCCTCACACGATTCAAACGACGTCGAACCAAGAAGCAGACGAGACGAGCCGTACCTAGGGCTTTGATACCATGAAGAAAAAACATGTGAGAAAATACTTATTTAATTCTCATTACCAATATTCAACCATAAGGCTACATATATAGGAAAATCGACCTCTTCTAATTTACAATCTTATCAAATATATCTAGTCTAAACATGGAAATGAAATAATTTTGAAATAAACATAAATAGGAAGAGAATTAAAACTAATTAAGGAGTTTTCCAAGTTGTCATCAATTAATCCATCCATCACTCCTTGGATGTCTGCTTGGGCCCAACATAGAAATGAGGCTGGTCCTAGATTTCCACACATGTGATACTTGTTTAGAGTTTTTCTTTTCTCTTCCTTGATTTGATTTTGGCGAATCTGCCTTATGTGATTATTACTGGCGTACAACAACAAACATATGAATTTAATGCTACACCACCTCATTATTTAATATTACTAGTCTACCATTATAATCTATGGTTTTTTTTTTTACTAACATTCATTTATTTTTTATCATCAATCTTAACTTTGGATGCGTTAGACCTGGACTTTGGCATGTGTTTGGAGGTCCGGCCAACAATCTTATGTTAAAACTGACTTGGACGGAGATTTTGGCTTGAAAGCCTGAGTTGACCCGTCCATATTTTACTTGTATCTAGGGAATGATCGACAATTCTATTTTCTTGGCGCAAGTCAATTGTGGAAGGGTTGCTTTCATTATTAAGGTGAATTTATATGTTGATTGAGGGAAAAATCAGTAGGGTTTGCCCTTTAGATTGACACTAACTAATCTAGTTGTGTGTCATTGTTGTAGTTCATAAGTGGTATCAATGGTTTGGATAACATGCCAGGGAGTAAATTAATATGTTTAGAATGGTTAAATAGCAAAATCAAAGGCCTGAATAATGCCCTATTATAATGAGTAAGCCATTAAAGTATTTACTACCATGTGCTCTTTTTGCATTCCACAAAACCCTATTTTGCATATTGTTGGGCATCTTATTGTGTGTTTCTTTGGTAGTTTTATGAAATTCCATAAATACATGATATTTGTTTTACGCATTATTTTTTGTATATGGTCTGGGTGATGATATATTTTGAGCGTTAGTAGTTTCATGAAATTCCGTATATATTTGGTATTTGTTTTACGCATTAGTTTTTGTAGGTATGTTGTCTAGGCGATGATAAATTTTGCGCCTTAATTATTTTTTGATTTCTTTTCGCTCATATTATTATTAAAATCACTTTGCTAGAAATGTGATTATAAAATTAAACCATTTTATATATTTTTCAGATCAAACACACATTCGTAGTCCCTGATAAATTGGATCGTGGTATTATTAAGTTTCACAGCCGTCGTGTGACAAGTTTGGAGTTCCATCCAACTAGGAACAGTGTACTTATATCAGGAGACAAGGTATAAGATGTTTTTCTTTACTTTTTCATTTGGTTTGGTTGAGAGAAATAATGACTTCAATTAATAATTTATTGCATGTTTAGTAGATGTAATATTTATTTTTCCATTGATCCCTTCTCTTATACCTACTATTTATTAATAGAAAGGGCAAATTGGCATATGGGATTACAGCAATCCAAATGAGAAGACAGTCTATGGATCTATACACTCCTGCATAGTTAATAACATGAAGTAATAGTTACTGTTATTTTTCTTCTCATTTTTTTTTTCAAAATTTCATTTGTAAGATCCAAGTTCATGTCGGTTTTCTCTTTCAGGTTTGACACCAGAAATGATTTCATGCTCTATACATCATCTTCAGATGGGACAATTAGCTACACTGATTTGGAAACTGGAATTGCAGTTCTTTTGATCGATGTTAACCCTGATGGATGGAATGTAGATACTCTTCCTTTAGTGTAGTATAGGCTTTTATTTACACGTCGCTTCGGTCTTTTTTTGAGTATGCTTCATCTGCATTTTTCTTTGGGGCTTTTACATATACCAACCAATTCGTATGCATTTACATTTCTAAGATCTGAATTTTACTTTTTACATTTATACCACCCAAATCTTTCATATCACCTTAAAAATAACACAAATTTAACTTTAAAAAGTGAAATACACCTTCTCATGCAAACGAATGGTGGCATAAGATTTGAGTTCTATGTATGTAAATCTTTCTTTTTCTTATTGTTGACCTTGATTTGATGAACCAATTCGATGCTCTTAAATGTTATTGAATATGAAGTTTGCATTCTATTACCCGAATGATATATTCATTTGTGGAATACGCTGCAGAGTTGCACCAAATTGTTTGTTTGCATATTATTTTAATGGGAGAATTACAAATAGATCACCCAAAACATTGTTATTTAAAAATTAATCACACAGCTGATTTTTTTGAACTACCGAACTAATGTGTATCTGCGTGCCAGGATCAAACTCTTGAGAATTTCATAAAAATGTAAAGTATGAGTATGGGTTTTACCATGAATTTTGATATTTGAGTGAGAATTTGAAAATTGGATGAAAGAGGGTGGTTGATTTGTAAATAGAAAGTTTCGGTTGGTCTTTATTTTATTGCCCCTATTTTTTTCGGATGCGCCCCTAATTTTTTTCTGGCTGGTTTTCTGCGGTTTGCTTTATATATCTTTTAGTAGTAGTGGTTCAATAATTAATCAATCCAAGGAGACCAAATGACTAAAATGAAATGCGATTGATGGATTATGTTGTAAAGGTCTTCTAAGATAGTTTTTTTTTTAATATATGATATTATCAAAATTTTCTTTTTGAATTAAAGCTTATAAGCCTTGTTATTCATTGTAGATTTGCTACCTGTAGGCGTGAAATAAAGAGAAGTCTATTTGGATGAATTCATGCATCATCTTTTCGCTCAAATTGTATTTTATTTATTTTTCTAGTTTTCTTCTGGATATATTCTTCCTAGTACATTGATGAGGAATACAACAACCCAAATGCAAAATTATGACTAAGGCTGTAAATGAACTAAGCCTTTGACAAGTTGAATTCTAATCATATGTTGAATTTTCGACTACTAATAGTGGGGTTATCTGTCAGGACAAACATTGACAAGATTGGAATAGGGCTCTAAAGTAATTTGATGATTGATAGTACCAGAGGAAGTTATATTGTGAGGAAATACTGAAAATATCTTATATAGTTGAAGCAACTAGATATATGGATATTATTATAGATTAACATGAGTGAAAATAAGAGGCAACAATATTAGAAATATGCAATTGTTTTAACTAATTTAATTGTGTGCATTTCCACTTTACCGAGGGACTGACCAAGAAAAAATTAAAAAAAGGAAGTCCCAACCAAGGAAACTTTGGCCTTTCCATGGAGGACATTTACAAGTTGCAATTTCCCAACAAGTCGAGGTATTATACACCTGTAACCACTTTGCCTCCTTGTATAGAAAAAACATATTGATCAACTCGAAAGAAGTAATGTTGGAGTCATAAGTTTTCTAGCGAGCAATTTGTCTATATTGCATGCAAATAATCTGTTACATTATCTTTTCTATCGCACGTATTTATTTTACTATTTTATACTCAATAATGTTATGCTTGTGAGTGCATATAGATTAGATTTTTCTCCTAATATTATTCTGAACAATCTGATATGATTCCTATTCCAAGTTCAAGCTATACCTGATTTGTAGGGTCCATCTACATGGCGGATGTTATATGGCATGGATTCTAATTCGGATAAAGGGCTTTTACTAGCCGCAGATAACTTTGGCTATATTTACCTGTGAGTACCTTTTCTTTTAACCTATAAGTATTTTCTTAGTTCCGGTTGGTTATTTGACCGTTTTGTACCTAAAACTACTTCCTTAGTTCTGTTTGGGAATTTGACCGTTATTTTGTTTATTCCTACTACTTATTCTTGCCAATTAAATATTTTCTTTTAAGATGCTGAGGTGGGTAAGCTTTAGTATTAAATATTTTATGATTATAGTGGTAATAATTTCTTTGATTTAAAATGTGAATAATTGTGCATCTTAACATGTACTCAAGTTCAGTTTTTTCTTTGAAAAACTCTTAGGTTTGATACTAGGGAAAAGGTGAAGATTGGAGAACCAGTTCTTATTCATAGAAAAGGAAGCAAGGTTGTTGGGCTACATTGCAATCCCACACAACCAGATCTCCTTCTGAGCTGTGGAAATGATCATTTTGTGAGCTTTTTATTTTTTAATATAGTTTTAATTTATATTGAGGAACTAGCTTTATTTTTTAGGGTGGGCAAAACCATCAAATATTTAATTCTTCAGAGTATTGGGCAAAAAAATGTATGGAGAAGAGACAATTGCTAAATTATGTAAACTGCATTAAAAAAATTATCAAATTTCACTAATTATATAGACAAATCTCAAATTCTTGCCCACCCTCAATATAACCTGGTTCCGCCTTAACTATAGTTGTACTATTTACTTACTATTAACACTTGGATTGCTTGATTTTAGGCTCATATGTGGGACATACGCCGACTAGAATCTGGATCTTTTCTTGCCAGTCTTGCTCATACTCGTGTTGTCAATTCGGCCTATTTTTCTCCACATACTGGAAGTAAAATCCTTACGACATCGCAAGACAATCGAATAAGAGTCTGGGACTCGGTCTTTGGAAATTTGAATTTGCCCAGTAGAGAAATTGTCCACAGCCATGATTTTAATCGTCACCTTACTCCTTTTAGAGCTGAGTGGGATCCAAAGGTTCTCTTTTTTTTTTTTAAATCATAAACTGAAAATCTTTGCATTTTTTGAATTTTTATGTTTTTGAATCTAATTTCTAATGATTTTACGAAAGGATCCTTCTGAGTCGCTAGCGGTTATTGGTCGATACATAAGTGAGAATTATAATGGTGTGGCATTACATCCCATTGACTTCATAGACACGAGCACAGGCCATCTTGTTGCAGAGGTGGTTGATCCAGATTTAACCACTATTAGTCCAGTAAACAAACTACACCATCGGGATGATATTCTGGCAACTGGGAGCTCCAGGTCTATTATTTCTAGTCTCAGTATTTTATATTTTTTACCGTTTTTATAATTTATTTATTTATTTTTGCATTATAAGTGCTAGTTCTAGTTTTAAGGGATTTTTTATAAATTTATGTTAATCCTGATAGGTCTGTGTTTATTTGGAGACCGGGTTCCAAGGATGTGGAAAAAGAGGTTGAAAGGAAGAAGGAAATAATGTTTTGTAATGCTGGGAAGAAATCTGCTAAAGGAAAATTCGATGAAAGTGATGATGATGATGATGATTTCTCTTCCAAAGGGAAGAAGAAGCAGCAGAAGAAATATGGAGGAAAATCTGATAAAGCTGTTAAAAGCAAATCTGAAAAACTCAAAATCTAGACTGTAGTAAAGATGGAATGAGGCAAAGAACGCCTTTAAGGTTTTGTAGATCTCATTCTCTTGGTTTCTATATATTGGGGGAATTTTTGGCTAGGTTTTTACAGTATATGATAGTTCTTCTTGCCTGCTTTTGATTTACCAAAAGATGGTTTCATTGAAGGGTTGTAGCTATTCAATCTCAATTTTTTGGAAGGGTAAGTAGAACCTTTTTTCTTTTTCTTTTTTTTTTTTGTGAAAATAGCAAGTTTTTTGTAAGCAAAATCAAATGTTAATTGAGAGTATATGATGGTTCTCTTTGCATGCTGTTTATGAGTTCAAAATTACACAGGTGAAATGAAAAAGTGATTTGATTTCTCAATGCAAAGGGTCTTTCTGATTTTATGGTTGAAACAAATCTATCCGTTTTATTTTGAAGAGGAAATAAAATCTAGTGAGGTAGCATGTCAAAATATTTCTTTTGATTATAGGAAAGACATTTGAGTCCCTATAATTCAACTTAAATTTGATCAAAGTCAATGTTATAGTCATTAATTTTGCTGATATGTACACGTGATTAATTATTAATATTTATAATGTATATATGCTAAAGTAAATTTGATGATTATAAGGTTTCATTATGACTTAAATTGAATTCAAAACATTTTAATTTATATTTTCATTTGCTTGAAAAGTTGGTCAATAGTTTCTTAATGAGTTCAGGTGGGTGTTTAAGTGTGTAGTATATTGATTAGAAATAAAGTGAAGAATTTTAAGTATTGAGTGCTCATTCTACCTGGAAATAAGCGATTTTTTTTCTTTTTAACCATTTTACTTGTACTCCAATCAAACACTTTTGAACAGTGAAAATTAAGGACCATTGGGCTAAAATATTCATTGACGTGTGATTGTGAATGGGATCTTTTGGCTGATTATGCTTTCTTTAAGGCATGATTGATCTTTAGACCGGTTAAGCTTGTTGAATAGTCAGCTTTGTGACTAAGTAGAATCCTTTAGTTCAAGCTCCCTTGTTTGGCCGTTTAAGCTTGCTCTAATAGTTGATGTTCACCCATTTCTTACTCTTTGTCGGTGCCTTAACACAAAATCCCTAAAGAAGATTGTTTCCTTTAAATGGGCCTCATCTTGCCAGGGTAACCACTTAGACTCCCTAGAGAGTGAACTTGTTTGCTACTCTTTGTGGTTTTTGTTGTAAAATGAGGAGTTAGACTCTAATACTAGGACCTATCCAAATAAGATATATGGAGAATGACACAAAACTTTGATACTTGGGTTGAGTAAGATATATGGTGATTAACACAACATGGTCATTGTTAGTAGCTGTAGTAACATTTAGTTGGCCACAAATGCCATAATTGAAAATTGCAATAGCATTTAGTCATATAGGTTATAGTTGGTCACATAAGTCATAGTTGGTAGTTGTAGTAACAGTTAGTTGGCCACAAAGGTCGTAGCTGTAAGCTACAGTAGTAGTTAACTACATAGACCATATTTGGTAGATGTAGTAGTTGTTAGTTGGTCGCATAGACTATAGTTGGTAGCTGAACTAGCGATAGTTGGCCATAGATGTTGTAGTTAAAAATTACAGTAACAGTTAACCTTATAGGCCATTGTTGGTCACATAAGGAGTAATTAGTAGCTCCACTGACAGATAGTTGACCATAGAGGCCTTAGATGAAAGTTGCACTAGTAGTTAGCTACATAGGTCATAATTGGTTGTTGTAATAACGTTAATTGGCCAGAGAGGCAAAAATTGGAAGTTGCAGTAGCAGTTAGCTGCATAAGCTATAGTTGGCACATAGATTATAGTTGGTAGTTGTAGTTCCATCAACCAATCACAAATGTCTATAGTAACATCAACCAGCTTCAAATGTCATAGTGGGGGCTGCAATAGTGTCATTTACCCACATAGGCTATAGTGGGAGGCTTCAATGTTAACTGTCATAGAAACCGTATTTGGTGATTTGTCGATTGGTGGCTGCAACCTTCTTTCAGGTTTACTATTACACCAGAGATAACACTTGCCGATATACAACATATAGAAAATTTTAGGAGTTCAATAGAAGTTACCATATTTTTAATGCAGCGGTCATAAACAATTGTCGCCAAATCTTCAATACAACATTATTCATGTACATCGTATTCGAGTTGTTACACCTTATTTGAGATGTGTCTTTAACAAGAAAATTTCACAAATAACAGTGAGGAAGGGCAGCCAACAGTGATCGTGGCCAGCCGACGGAGTTTATTGTCGGGTCTTCAATCTAGAATAACACTGAAATTTGACTCATTGTTTCTTTCCCAAGTAAGGAGAGAGGATCCATTTATACCACCTGAGGGAGATACATTTATGTCATTTGACGAATAATTTTCATAACCACCCGATCAGAAGACCCATAATCATCCTCCTTGATCATAGAGTTTTTTTTTAATGATCTAAGAGCCTAAATTACCCCATAATTAAGTGAGCTTAGACAAGTCTATTTGATGCTCATTTTTATTAAGATGCTCTTGAAAATGATATTTTGGTAGCTCCTCGTGTTAATCAATACATCATCACTATGATAATTTGGGTAGTGACCTCAATCACACCATTTACAAGAATGTTCATTCAATGGCTTAGCTAACTCATAGAAAGTGTTCGGGACGACTTCAATGATGGGTGCTCATATTGTGGTGAACCTTAATTGCTTGAGGCTAGTTTACTGTATTTCTTATTTTTCCACAATGTGGAGTATGATTCCAACAAAATAATTGTGCATGTAGGGACTAATTCATTCCTTCACTCCATAAAATGTTTTATTGTGAACCCTTTAGCTTGGGTCGGACAAGTATAAATTCTTTTAGTTTTTTAGCTTTAACCAATTCTTTAATTAATTTTTTGAGGTTTTGTGGCAACTCTTAACTTCATGGTTATGTTTTTGATGAAGGGTATATTTTATCATATCTCTGAAATAGGGGCTGGATTTCATTAACTATAGGCGATTAAAATATATTCATCAATCATGATTTTCTTCTCTTCTCACCGATGAGATTCTAGTGCATATTACTCTTTTTTTACTCTTATGCAATAGGTTTCATCTATGGATGATAATGCTCTTGCTTTCAGGTTCCTCCTCCTGGCTAATAAGTCAGGTGACTCTTTAGCTAGTTCTACTCTTGGCATTGTTCTTTGGTTCTAATCTGACACAACTTGGATCATTTTATTCAGAGGCCCCTCCATCTCAGTAAGTTAACAGCACTTTATCTATACATATAAAATGTTGATTTAACTATTAAAAAGTGATAATTAGTATTATGTTTTATGTGATAGGAAAGAATTGAGTGATATGCGTGTAAATATTGAAGTTTTTGTGAGATAGGTAAATCTATAAGAAATAAGAAATGTGTGCTATGTATGTGAATGCCCATTCTTTGTTTTATTCAAAACTGGAAATGAATCAGCTCACGGGCTGACGAGTCGAGTCATACTAAGTTTGAGCTCGAGCTCGTTTAATTTACGAGATCGATCTTGTCGCTAGATAAGTTCGACTTGCGAGCTCATTAGCAAGTCAAGTCGAAGCGGCTCGGCTCCATTACACCCCTATGTAGATTCATGTTCAACACACCTAATAAAATATTTTCCCAAACTAACTCAATAGTATAAATTACAAATGCAAAAATTTTGGAGCCCTTAGCTTTCCTTAAGATCCCTTAGAATGACATAAGAAAAGCTGTATAGTGAGCTGTACATGTAATGAATACCTAAAAGTACACAATAGGGATAAGTGCCTTTAGTATAGATTCAAAGTCAGATTAGTGGTCGACACTAGAATGGAGCTGTTAGGTTTTCTTAAGCTAACTAGATATCCTCTTCTTTGACAACATGTGATTTTGCCGAGTCTTGACATGTAGATGCTTCAAACTAGGTCGGACTAGTCCTCCTCGGAGCCAACTAGTGAGTCTACTTTGAATACAGAACGAAGAATTTATCTCATGCTTAGTTGGTGAGTCTCGCTGAAACCCGGCTTGTGGATGTCTCATTGTTCTTCTTTTGCCCTTGGGGTTTACAATTTATAAGCATAATTGTCAAAATAAATAACACAAAATTGATTCTCAACAAATAATTCTTATGGATTTACTCATCTCACACATAAAGTTTGATTTTTCACACTTGTAGCGCTTTATCTATGGATGAAAAGTTGAATTTGACTATTAAAATGTGATAATGAGTGATGTTTTTCATATGATATTAATGTCAAGAAAAAATTATTTTTTTTAAGTAAAATAAATATAAAATAAATTAAAACAAAAAATTAAAACACCTCAAATGAAAATACTCCTTAATTTGCCCAAATTAGAGGAATTTGAAATACATAACACTTCGGATAAATTTGGGGTAGTTGTAACTTTTTAAAGATGATTGCAAAGTTAGCGTGAAAAAAATTAATTTCTTAAAAAAGAAACAATGAAAATTGTAATTATTTTCTTTCAAAAAAAAAATCAAACAATAATTTTCTTATATAACCACAATATTTTAAGAAGCCAAGTTTCGAAAAATAACTCCACACCTACAATTGTGGTGGCAATCTGAAATACAAAACAGACAGAAAACTATCATAAACAAATAAATAATAATAATAATAGATAAAATAAAATAAAATAAAAGTTAACAATATTAGTGCTTTTAACATGATGTGTTAGATTTGAGTGTTACAAAGTATATATATATATATGTAAAATGAATAAAAAATTGGTAGAAACAACATTCAAAATGTGCTGCAATGGATGCAACTACTTCATTAAAAAATGACTTTCATTGCATTGCAATGGCAAAATAACAACAAAAAATAACATTAATCCAACACACTAGTCATCACAGCAAACAGAATCATCATCATGGCCTGTGCTAACTACAGCTATTACTATTAACAACAAAAAATAACATTAATCCAACACACTAGTCATTCACAGCATACAGAATCATCATCATCATGGCCTGTGCTAACTACAACTATTACTATTGGACAGCAGACTTAAAGACGACATCAACTGAGAAATTTGATCATTTGAAACATTAGTTTTACTCCTTGCAGAACCTAACCTTCCCATGTTTGGCGAACTTGCTGTAGAAGTCTGAAGATATCTTTTCAGACGCGTGCTCAACGCATCAATAGAAGAACGAAACTCATCCAGCTCCAGATTTGTAATTCTATCTGCATTACATTCAGAATCAATCAAATATTTTTTTGTGTGCCTGAAACACAGCAGCAGTAATTATGTAGTATTTCACCTTTGCTTTTGGTTTTTTTTTTTTTTTTAATTTTGTTTTGTTTTTGTTTTGATTTGAAAGATAATATGTTTGAATATTTGATTAAAGTGTGATAATTTTGTTGAGGATAATTACATACAGACCATTCGAAACATTGCTATTTACAAACTAAGCACTCAAGTGTGATTTTTTTGTACCGAATCGGTGAATTTGGTGAATTTACGCGTGCCACGAGCAAGCTATTGAGAATTTGATAAAAATGAAAAATATGGGTTGAGGTTTTACCATGAATTTTGACGTTTGAGTGAGAATTTGAAAAATGGATGAAAGAGGGTGGTTGATTTGTGAACAACAATGTTTTAGGTGGTCTTGTATGTAATCTACCCTAGTTTTTAAAAACATTGAAAGTTTTTTTAGTGTTTCCATGAACATGTTAATTTGGTTTATAAAAAAATAATAAAAATATAAAAATAATACACTGAACAAATATATTTTTAAAAACAAAAGCAAAAACAAAGAGAGATTTACATGCATACCACTCAATCCTTATGAATTTGTGTATCTATACTTCAATTTTTTACATATATACCGCCACTTTACCTATGAATAAAAAGGTATATTTCACTTTTTAAAAGTTAAAATAGTAGCAAGTGATATGAAATATTTGAGTGATATCAATGTAAAAGTAAATTTCATGGGTTAGATATGTAAATACATAAGAACTGAGTGGTATGTATTTAAATGGCATACATAGCACCCAAAATATCACTATTTACAAATCAACCACTCTCCTTCATACATTTTTCAAATTCTCACTCAAATATCAAAATTCATGCCCATATTTTCATTTTTATCAAATTATCAATGGTTGATTGTGGCACGAGGTAAATACATCGGTTCAGTAGTTCAAAAATATCATCCGGGTGCTAGATTCTATAAATAGCAATGTTTACTATGTATGTAATTATATCGAATTAAAAAAAGAAGAACACAAAACAAAAGCTAAAATGATCCCAGACAAGCCTGTAGTGTTTAGAAATGAGGCATATAGTATGATCCCAGACAAGCCTGTAGTGTTTAGAAATGAGGTCATATAGTAAGTACCTAGATCAGCATTGAATTCCCTTTCAGCCTTTGAAAGTGGCTTTTTATTTGTAGCAGGTAATGCTTCAAAATTCTTCAGACGCTGCTCCAATAGCTCGTATACCTTGAAGGCGCGATTGATCCGGCCTTGCACGCCATTTTCATTTTGCTCCAGCTTCAAAAGACACTGTTCTACCTCTTTCAGGCGTTTTAGTTGGGTGTCTGTTATTGTCTTCACATACTCACCATGCTGTTCGAGTTCAATGTGCACCTGAACACATACTAAGAATTAGATCTCGTTTGAGTTTGGGAGAAATATTATGGTCACTGTAATGGTATTTGCGCGAGGTGCCGAAACATGGCTATTTTTAAGAAAGATTTACATACCTAACATCTAAACTTTAATTACATATATGCAATCTTAGCTATGCTTGAAAAGGTGTATTTCACTTTTTAAAAATCAAAATAATGATATTTTTTCTGTGAAATAAAATATTTAGGTGGTATGAATGTAAAAAAGTAAGATATTACCAAGGAATTAGGGGGTATGTATGTAAAAGCCCCAATCTTTAATTATGCTGATGCCACTAACTTAGATTAAATTGAGTTATAGCAATGTGATGGTTTTAACATTCAAAAAGCAAAAATTAAATTGATGGTTGAGAGGAAATCGGATACCAAATTGTGCTCATTATGTCCCCACACAACTTGAGAGGTTTCTCGATGTAATTATCCAGAAAAAAAAAAAAAAAACAACAGCTCATGTAGGATCATCAAAGTCAAATGAATCGTGATGATCCTATTTCAACCAAATTAATCATTGTGTTCTGTTTAATTAGGTGTGTGTGAGATCACTTTTATTTTTTAATTTTGCTTTTTTTTACTTTCCATTTTTTAAGTTTTGATTTAAATTTAAAAATTTCACTGAGTTGGTTATTTTTAAAAACATTCGATGAATCTTTTAAATATTTTGAGCGCTTTTAAAAATAAATTGATTTGTTTTTAAAAATAAAAAATATAAAAATATAAAAATTATAGCTACCACATATGTTTTCAAAAAAAATAAAAAAATAAAAACAAAAAAAGGAAAGAAAAGTGATGTCAAACAGACCCTTAGCTTTCGTGCATGTTTTAATTAAAGTTTTAATGGCTAAAAAATTGTTAGCATGCATCGAGTACTCTTGGTTTTTACAAAGTGTGCCCTAAAATCGTTAAAAAAGGAATTATAACTAATGATTGTTGGTGTGGGTTTTGGGTAAGCTAATAGGTTAGGTTTGTTTTAGGTTTTAGGGTTGCATAAGGCAAGGGTTGGCTTTAGGGTTTCAGGTAGAGGGTTAGGGTTAGGGTTGTAAATAATTTTCTACTATTATTTGTTTTTTTGGAAGATTTACATGCGAACCACTTAAAGTTCAGGTGTAAGATATGTAAATACATAGGAATTGGGCGGTATATATGTAAATGCCTATTTTTTGGCATGTTCTTTAATTATTTTGTTGCTTTTATTTATCTATAGCATTTTAAGCTTAAAGATTGTATTGTGTACATGTGCTTTTACAAATTATACAAGGAACAAATCTTTTTTCATTCTTGTGTTGTGCATAGTTATTTACAATCATTTCAACGCAAATTAAGATGTGTATTACTTTGTTCATAACTTTTCGTTGATTCTTTCAATTGCGAGTTTAAATATAAATTTGTATAATAATTTAAACTCAATTCATGGATTGTAATTTGTACATATGTATTTCTGCATCTATTTTTGTTCTGTATTTTAGATTTAGTAAATTAATTTGATGTAACTGAAGTGTTTCCTTCTTTCATTCAGGGCATTTGGTTTGTGATTTTTTTCAGTGCGGAGGCTAGAAGTAGTGGTCTATTAAAAAAAATGATTAATAGAGGGGGCAGCAAGCATGATGGTCCATCGATGTCAAGCATAGGTATGAAGTTACTTCAATATTTTCAATTCAATTTCTGAATGCCTTAAAATTAATAATATTGTTTGTTATAGAGAATATCACAAAGTATTAGAGTATATGAAATTATATTTGCATGGCTTGACGATACAAATTTTGCACAACTCTTTGGTGATTTGAGTAAAATAAATGATGTTGAACTCGAAAATGTTGAAGACAGATAAACATATAAAGGTAGATGAAATAAATAATTCTTATGATGACGATGAAGACTTCGACTATAATGTTTCAAATGACTGTGAAGAGTTTATAGACGGCGATTATGACATTCATGAAGCTGAATAGATATTTGAAAGTAATGTTGATCCTTCTGTTAAATTCACAAGTATAACAAATAAAGGTGGAAAATTGAAAAATGCATTCAAATTTCCAATGAAATGTTGAAAAAAAAATGTTATGATAGCGATTGTATGAATTCCAACAATAAAGTCAGTTTTCATAACAACGACTAAGATGACATCATTAAGTTGCTAGTTTTCAATCCTATTCCAGAATTTCAAAAATATGATCTTGAAGTGCAAATGAGATTTAGTAATAAAGAAGAAATTAAATAAGTACTGCAAAATTGGTCAATTGCTACGGATAAGAGCATAAAGTTCTTAAAAAATGATAAAAGAATATGCAAAGCTATTAGCAGGAAGCCTAATTGTTCATTTCATTTGTACATTTTAAAGCATTATGGAAGTTATTCATGGTAGACAAAGCATACTTATCAATGGAGTTATCATAACAAAACTTTAACCTTCACAAATTATAGCAAAGAAATTTATAAATAAATGATGAATCCGCAGTGCAAAACTAATTTTTTTAGAGAACTAATAGATATATTGAAGTTGCACGTTTCAAAGTCACAAGCTAGGAAGGTTGTTAGCAAGACACACAAGTCGGGGCACATGAAAGATGATGAAAAATTCAGGATTATATTGCTTGTAAATTACAAAAATAAATCCAGGAACAACTATATCTATAAAAACAACACAAGACACAGATTTGGAAGATAGACTGAGATTTGTCACAATGTATGTTTTTTTAATGCATGTAAAAAAGAATTCCTCTTAGGTTGCAAGCCAGTTATTGGGGTTGACGACTGTTTTTTGAAGGGGCCACAAGGGGGCCAGTTATTAACTTCAGCTGGAATGGATGTTGATAATAATCTATTTCCAATAGTATGGATGTCGTTGAAAGTGAAACTAGAAATAGTTGGGAGCGCATATTAGAGGCTAGAACTTGAGGTCAAGCTTTATAGGCACGGTACTGAGAGTTCTATTTTCGAAATGATTTTTCTCTGTTTAAAGAAATCGAAGGCCTTTGAAAACTGGAGAAAATTGATTGTGAATTTCACTAATGTGTATTTTATGTAAGTTTACTTGATTAGAGAATCCTATTTTAATTAGTGTTGCATTAGTATTTGACGAAGAAGCCATGTTAACTTCGGTCTTAAGGACTTGGAGGATAAATTTTCAATAGATGGGATTTATGACATCATCGAGCAGCCCACTGAAGATGTGCACATAATATGTTGATGAATCTTGAATTTTGAAAGAGATTTCGTGAAATTTAAAACAATTGATAAGTATTTCATAACATTGCATGCTTATCAATGTTGGGTTAGTTTAAACTAATCATATTTTCTTAATATGCATAACATTCTTACATTTTCGACTCAATTGTTTAGCATTATTGTCAAAGCAGATGCGGATAAAATTAATTTTAAGTAAATTGACACATCATTTATGCCATTTTGAAAAGTTTACTTAGCCTATGACGTGCAACAGTGGATCACTTTGTTTCATTTGAAAACCTTTCCATTTACATGAATGCATTGATGTTTGAGATGTCAATGGGCCAATTGTGAAAGTCTTTTACTTGGGTTCATTTTCCTTAGAAAACATGTATAAATTTTTAATAAAATCTCTTAAAAGCTTTTTTTTTGAAGATTTAAATTATATGTGCTTCCAATTTAATAATTATGATGAATCAATTTAGATGAACATGAAAACATGTTTATATTCCAAGATGATCTAGACAATAACTTTCTACTCACTCGATAAAAATGAATCAAAAGGATTGTTTAATGTAAAAACTTGCTATTTCATTCAATATATGTGTTTGAATAGATGTTACAATGTAAAATAAATAGACCCAATAAAACCCTCTAATTATACATAACTCACAGCACTCCCCCTCAAGATGGGCAAAAAATATTCCCTAAGCCTATCTTGTCACATAATCTAGCTAACTCCACTGAACTACATCCTTTAGTGAGGCAATCAACCACCTGTTCTCTAGTAGCTACATGGCTTAGTTCCAACAATATGTTATTCAACTTCTCCTTGATGAAGAATCTATCAATCTCCACATGTTTAGTTCTGTCGTGTTGCACCGAGTTGTTAGCAATGTTGATTGTCGACTTGTTGCAAAACCACATAGCACGATCTTCTTTCTAGCACGACAGAGCCGCTCGATCCTTTGCGCTACCCAAAAAATTACGGAAGCATCACCCTGCTCTCACGCGACACAGAACCAATCTTTGTCCCTCTCAGCGCCCCTAATCGCGACTGTATTGTGTCCTCGGCGTCGAAGCCACTCACGCTTCCCTATACCGAAGTCTCTTGTCTGATTTCGCAACAGGAACAGGATCGCGATACAAACCAGCCGACTACGCTTCTTCCTCGTCCCGTAGCAGGAACGGGAGCAGAATCGTGACACATATAGGATTGCGATACAAACACAATGACTTGCTTTTTCCTCCTCTCGCAGCAGGAGCAGGATCGCAACACAGACGACATTGCTTCTTCCATATATCGTAAATCCAGTAGAGGTGAAAACTTGTTGTTTTATTCAACATATGTGTTTAAATAGGTGTTAACAATGTTTAACAAATAAATCCAATAAAACCCTCTAATTACACATAACTCAACAGAATCAACTTAGATGAATATGAAAGCATATTTATATTCCATGATGATCTAGAAAAACTAATTTTCTACTTACACAATCCTGACTAGTGAAGTCAGAATGAATATTAATGAGAAATATATCTAACTAAATTGTTCGCCTTTGTTATGTCTCATGCTCGACTTAGAGGAGATCATCATGGGGCATGATAGGATTCATGCTTCCTTTCTGCAGTACCTAGTGCATCTATAAATAAAAAGGTTGAGGCATATTAAAAAAAAAAATGGCTTAAATAAAAATACAAACTTTAAGGGCAAGAAGTTTTCTTAATCCTTCTAATACTTCAATCCCAAAAGAGACGATATCTTTGTTCAAGCTGGAGATTTATTTAGTTTATTCAATCCTTTTAATTCTCTTATAATTTTTATTTAGCTATTGAGTGATTGCGTGACTGGTGTAACTTCAAATTTATTATATATTTACTTTTATTTATATGCATATATTCTTAGTTATGTGTTTTTTATAGTTCTAGTTATGTTTATCCCATTAGAAAATTAAAACTTTCTAGAAATTGAGTATAAGTTCCTTATTCATCCTCATTGATAGTCATTAGGTGTTTGTGTTAGCTTCTTTACCCCGAATGATTTGCATTTTTATTCTCGCTTGCTGTATTAGATTACGTGCATCTCATTTAGAAACTATTAAAAAATAGCAGACTTGTTTATCTATTAATAAAAGTGTGGATATTAAATTTGCATAAAAGTACTCTAAAATTTATTGCACCACAGTTATGGACGCAAATTGAAACTCTCTCTCAAATATATAAAACCAACTTCAAAAATTAAAGCTATCTAGAAGTAACCAAAATCTTGGATTATACGCACAAATAGAAAAATTGGATAAAATTGAGATAAGAAAAGCATTGATTTGCAAGGTAAATTGAAACTATCTCTAAAATATATAAAACCAACTACGAAAATTAAAGCTAACTAGAACTAACCAAAATCTTGCATTATACGCACAAATACAAAAATTGTAAGAAATTGAGATAAGAAAAGCATCAATTTGCAAGGAAAATGGATCCTCTTTGGTACCTTATGTGCATATTCCACATAGTTTTCATGGAAAAGCTTGATATAATGATGGAGAGTGGATCGACCTTCAATAGAGTCAGGAGTCAAGGATCCGAGACTTGTTGATGGAGGAATGATGATAGATTTAGGACCAGTAAGAAGTTCTTTGCTTAGAAGATCAGAAATTTTGATCTCTGTAGAACCAGAAGGTTTCACATCCAAGTCAAAGTGGCAGGGAAGCATCTCATTCCAACCCTTCATTTCCACCACAAGACATTCATTACTGGGTGTCACTCCTACAAATTGTGAATGACCATATGAATCTGCCACCATGAGGAAACCACAAAGAGCCTGAGGTGAAGACTCAGAATAGGATGTTGTGAGAATTGGCCGGACAGATGTTGCCGCCTCCGTTTTAGGAATTGTAGTTGAAAAAGGGAGGCGATGTATGATAATCATGTCCACACCACCACCATGTAAACAGTAAAATCTCTAAAGAGTGAAAGCAGGCATTGATTCAATGGATTTTTAGGCAGTGATAAGTCTACAATCGCCAACTTCAATAATAGAAGGGATTCTCTGTTTTTTAATTCATGGTTTGTAGACGATTCTTCCAAATCTGATTGGCAAATCACAGCCACACTCTCAATATTACCGGAAGTGTCTAGAAGAAGATGGGGAGAGCTTCCAGCTTTCCAAAGTGGCTGAATCTCATCTGCTAGAGCATCAATCTGGAGCTGCCCACTGCTCCAAGCAGTTACAACAACTGAATCCTTGTCAATAGAGCAATAAAGTAAGTTTACAGACTTACCTTCACAATCTGCACTGGGCTCATCAGTTTTTACTCCATGAGAAGAATTTACAAGAGGACCCTGTAAAAATAGATATTTCATTCCTTAATTGTCACTAAGCAATAATTTGGATAAGCACAATACCGCTATAAAGACATTTAGCACTTACAATGGAGGAAAAATGAAAACAGAAAAAGTAACTAATTACAATTGTGCATAAAATCCTTGCACAAGTGAAAAAGGTTGTTGACAAGAAAATAAACATGTAAGGCAAGGTGGGATAACCAGTATCGTGATCTTCACATAAACCCTAAACAATAAGCCTTTCAGGTCATCACAAGGATCTGCTGAAAAGTGATGCACAAATCAAGATTCAGTGAAGGCACGTTGCTTAGTACTTCCAATGGATATAGCATATGATGCAAACGCCTATATGGGAGTTGATCAAAAACCCTAGAAGCAGCCAATATGGGAGAAAAGGTGGGATCTGTCAAAAACTTGCAGCAAAAGGAGGAGAAAGATCCAAATCGGAAGATAAAATGGTAGCAACGGCGCCATCCGAAGTCAAAGGAAATGATTAATCATGATGAAAAAGGCAAAAGGAAGAGCATAAATTCTTGGAAGGCGAGAAAATAGCAGAAGTAGGCAACAAGATGACTTTAAGGCAGTGTTTGGCTGCAACTTTTTAAATAAGATTTATCAAATCCAATAAATGATTCTGCTCGCGAACGACGATAGAATAAATCTGTCTCGTAGCTGGATTTACTGTCTTGATTATTGTCATGTGGGAGCAAGTCCAATCATTACCACTAGTAATAGTGGGATGAAAGTCTTGATGACCTTATTATATTAAAGCATATTTACATACATACCACCCGATTACTATCTATTCACATATCAAACACCTAAACTTCAATTTTAAGGTACAAACCACCCCCGCTTAATAAAATTAAACTATGATTGCTTTTGTGTTAATGATTAAGATATAGTAGATAATCATGAAAAGAAATGTTTTGTGATAATCTAGGCAGATATGTTCTCTACCCACATGATCCTATTTGCTAAAATAGAGGATCAAAGACAATGTATCTCATTGGGTTGCCCACCTTTGCCACGTCTCCTACTTGACTAAGAGGATTAAAATATGATGTGACAACTTAATCATGAAAAATATGGTAAATTGAAATAAATTGCTTATATGAAATTGAATATTTTACGATGAGCATACCTGCAATACTAGAGATGCATCTATGGGAGTATAAGAATGAGCTCTGAATAACAAAACACCATCTCCTTCCATCTTCCGTTCAACTAACTCAGGAAACGTTGCTTCTAACCAAGTAATGGCCAAACCTGAGTTTCTGGAAACTCTTGGATTGGACGAACCCAACCCAAAAACATGAGCATCTTTATAGATCTCCTTGACATGCATCCAACTACAAAAACTGTAACAAAAAAATAAAAAAAAACAATGAAAACTTGTATAATTGCCTAGTATTATGCCTGAGCTTAAGAAATTTAAATCAATGCTGCTTCCATTCTTTTATCAATTTATCATTCTATCAATTCCATTATTTTTCTGTCAAATTAGAGTTCAGGTAAGGCAACTAGCAGGCATACTCACATGCAAATAATCTTAAGAGGAAAAGGTCAATCAAAAGTCAAACCAGAAATCTCAATAAAGAGAAATTGAAGAAGCAGAAGTGATTGAAAATAATATAACTACCTTCCAAATGGAACAACAGGGCAAAGAATGTACAGGGAACCATTACTGTACAGAATGAATACCTGCAAAAAGAAATGAAGTTCTAATTTATCCAGATTCCAATTAGAGAAGGCACTCACCTCCCGCCTCAACTTTCAATTGCATAAAAGAATAAACTAGCATGCCATATTACTAAACCCTAAAAGGCTACGGCAACACATTATCAAATTTTCCATTGCAGGACCTGAAACAAATTTTTTGAATAGATCTGTACAATATGAGAACTGGAAACAGCAGTGTTGAAAAGTAGAGCAATATTTTATTCTAAAAATAACAATTTCCTTAAAGCCGGTACCAGTCAGTCATTTAAGTGTTTTGGCAATTGGAAAAAATCTTCCTTTGTGGAATTCTTCTTTGGGAAAAAGCCATAAATAAAAGCCAAAGTCAAGTATGCATGCCATTAAAACATAAGAGCTATAAAATTTACTGCATTTCTGATTACAGCATTCAAGCCAGTTCCGATGCCTGTTAGATTAGTTGAAGATTTTGACAAGCATCAAAATCTTATTTTTTGTGAGAACAAAATAAAATAAAAATCACGGAAGGGGGTGAACCAGCTATCATGAAATAACACTTCCAAAGCCGAGAAATGATGTGGTTTAACTATTCATGATTTTATATTTTATTATTAGAGAGAAAATAAAGCTCATCCAAACAAAGCAGAAAAGCAATTTCTCTTATCAAAAAAATTCTTTGCACACAAGCTGTAAGAACTACAATTTAATGAGAAAGTGGACTGAGAATGAGTGGCCACTAAGGTACTTTAGGGCATAAAGATTAAAATTTTAAGCTGCCATTATTTGCTAAGCTTAAGCTCAAATGTACAACTGTGAGATCACTCATTAATTGCAGAAAATAAATTAAATCCCATCTCTTTTCAAGATGAGGGGGCACTCATATGAATCTGTCATATCATCATATAATAAGGCATATAAATAAATAAAATTTAGTGTGTTACAATTTATGATTATGAAAAAAATGGTTAGAGGTTGGAGCACAATAAAATAATGGAAATGAACTAGCCCAAGTCACTCTCACCAGAGCATCCCAAATGAATCTTAATTTAGATTTACTTACTCTTAAGTATTTATTACTTCAGAATTCTTTATATTATCACATATATGTTGAGAAATAAATTACTAGTGAAACTTATTTATCTTTAAGAATGACAATACAAGATAAGATACATCAGTGCCATTTGAGATAAAAAGAATAGTTATGTTAACCAACTCATTCAAGAATCAAAGCAAAATGGAGAAGACAATTTGAGCAGAGGAAATTTAAGCAGCATACTTAAGCATGTAATAAGTACTACTGCATTAATAAAATGAATGTACTCACCGAAAATCTTTCCCACAAATGCTGACCTCCAAATGAAAATGCAACAGGGCAGAATGAAACGATAGTTTTTTCCCGTCCAAGTTCAGGCTGAATATAAAATTCCTGCTCAGCTCGTTCCAAGTCAGATGACAAGTCAAACAGCCTGCAAATATAGTTTGATAAGATAACAAGACCACATTTCTGTTAAGCCTCTTGCTTGTCAGACTTTTCATCATCAAATTTAACACCTATTATTTTTTAGGCTTAAAGTGGAAAATTAAAGTCCTAAATTCAACAAAAAATAAGAAAAAAAAAGTCTTCTTTTTTCATTTATAATTTTGTTAATCATTAACAGTAATCCAACACTCATGCATTGGAATTATGAATCAAAAAAATTTATTTTTAGAGCACTTTTATGAAATAACTACACAGAATTAAAAAACAGTTTTTATAGGATGACAACAAAATTAAGGTAAAAAAATATCTACCAGGAAAACATATGACAAAAACACACCACATGCCACTGGACGTGTGAGAAAATCACAAACCATCATTAAAGGTTCAGAAGCCTCCAGGGCACTCATTGAATGCTTGGAAAATTGAATTAGGATAACGCAAGTAAACTATTATTATGGTTGACATTTAGTGAAGCTGGGAGTTGATTGCTTTTCTTACTTATACATGGTAGAAATGAGAGTCCAATTAATGTGTATTAGAATGGAGGTATTTGGACCCTCATTTCAAACACAAATCTTGGATATTTTTAGCAATCAAGGCGGACCACATAGTTTGAAAAAAGTAACCAAGAAGTTGATGTAAAATAGAAAATTTTTCCTTAGGTTATTCACAAAAGCAAATAGTTTGAATTAAATGTTAACAGCACGGATATAACTGCAATAATCCTCAAAAAAACTGGTGCCCATGCACGTCCATTGGAAAAGCGAGTCTGAAAAAACCCCTAAGTAATAATGTGCAAGCTCTTCCTAGGTTTAGTGCATGAGTTTGGTGAATCTATTTCCCTTTAGTTGGCATATGAGTTTGTCTTGATCTTGGCAAGTTGTATGCTTTAATGGCAAGCCCCCACAGGAATCCAGCTAGCAAATTTTTCATGAACCCAACCTAATGAGTTCATCCTGAGCCAAGCTGACAAGCCCTTCTCCAATCTCGACTAGCGAATTCATTTGCCCATCTTATAGGGGGGTAAGCTCACTGTTATTTTTGAAAAAACAAGTGCAAAAAGAATAAGGAATAATAGAAAATATAATCTATAATGCAAAATAATGGAGTACAAGTTTCGCCTCTATTGATGAGCTCTACACTTTCTCGTTTTGAGTTCATTGTGATCGTACTTAGCAACAGACAATTAATACAATAATTGGCAAAATAAGTATTAGAATTTAATAAAAAAGTTAATAGAGAATTTTGGCTATTCATTTGATTAATTCATTATTTTGTCCACGCTTGATCCTACTTCCTATAAAAGCGTCTCACATTTCTACGGTAAGACATTAGTACAAATTTTTAGAAGGTGCTCTTGGGATGGTTGTATAGATATAAAACGATACTGACATGCTATTGATATTATAAGATTCATTGAATAACATGTTAAATGTTTATATTAAATTTTTTAAAAACTTAACTGACATGTATTTTTTTTCTTTCCCCTTGCAATATTATAGTTTAAACGTATGAGTATTCATTGGCTTGATTAGCTTGTTGTTATTTTTAAACTAACTTTTCATGTTGATTTATTGATTAAAAGATGAACGATAGCAGGAAAAATGTTTATTGAAGACGCAAAAAACCAATAACCAAATAAATATAATTATATTGTTTTAATTTAAATTGATTTGTGGCTCTTTCATTTGATAAATAGTAAATGAATATAAAAAACTTAATTCCCGTCATCCTACCGTTTATTCCCGTCTTGATTAATTCCAAACCCCGGGTAGGGGTCGTGATATCACCAATTTCCAACTCTCTCATTTTCTTAATGCAATTATTGTCATATATTAATATAATCTAATATTAATATTTGTATAAGCATTAAATCTAAATTAATTAATTCAAAACTTCATCTTCATTTAACTTATAGTTTTTCTTCATGGTCATCCACTCTTCTCAATCCAATCCAAAAGACTTCTTTCTACTGCGCTTTGCGACTATAATCAACAATATCTCATATTAATGGTTAACTAAAATTCAATTATATAGACTGAATTCTAAAACAATAAAATAAAAATAAATCCTAACACTTTAAATATGCTCGGCTTAGTTCCCTTCGCACAAGCACACAATGCTTCTTT